GTGTCATTAGAACTATACATCGTCTCATATTAAGTTGACAGTCAATAAATAGCTTTAAATCTGTGTTTTTTTCTATGACATTCATATTTTCAGTTTTCAATATTGCCGCAAATTTCGCGCCAGCCAGTCAAAATCCGCCATCCGACTCTGTCAAACGTTCTTCTGAGTTGCAGTGGGGAAGAACTCTGATGCCAAGCGCTTACTTGACAGCGAAAGGTAAAATGGTGGACGCCTTGTAGGAATATATACAACACTTATTACGGTAGGTACCTATTTACAGCTTTCAGCTCTATACTGTGTAAATATATATTTTTTTAGTTAAAATTCTGGATCTATTTGAATTTATGCGTCATATATAAAGGTCAAAGTTTTAGGATTATGGAATTATTTGCCGAAATCGTGTATGACAGTTGTCAAAATATCAACAACATGGGATTACACGTGTGATTTTGAACCAAAACAAACGTTTATTTTTTTATGAAAGACCGAAAATCGGACACTAATACAAGTTAAATACATAAATTACTATAGTTAATTACAGATGAGTACTTTAGATATCGCAGAGCATCAATAAACGTTTACAAATAATGACAGTTTATCGAAGACCAATATTGGGTCATCTGTCAAATATTGTAAACCTGATTAACAGCTGATGATTGGTCTTGATACTGTATGATAGTCCTGCTACAAGTCTGTATGGAAAGCAACGCATTCCATAGGGACATCCAACTGTAACTGTAACATTTATGAATCTGTGTCTTCATTATTTTCATTGCTTGGAATGTTTTGTGTGTAAATATATTTAGTTGATATATGATCAGAGACATGAATGGGTATGTAGTTTTATCAATATTTTGTTCTCTTGAAATGTTTTTTTTTATACATTTAAGAAATACACTGTATGTATAAAAAATGTATTTGATTCTTCATTATTTCACAGTACAGTTACAAATATTAATGTATGATTTTACTATCATTTCAGATTGTTCACTTTGGAAGTATTACGAGAAATAAATTAAAGGAAAAATGGAAGCAGCTGGATACTTTGAGCCACTCAAACTTTTCATCAGTTTGGAAGAGCTTTTACATGTGGAGTGCATTCAAACATTTGATGAACTTCTAGAATTCTGTAGATGTGAAGTAAAAATTGATATAGTGATACTGATGCAGCAGTTGCTTTTCAATGTTCATTTGGATCAATACAGCAGCACAGGAGTAGAAGTCGCAGATTTCTGGAGGGCCCTGGAATTGTTTGGATTACAGCACGCATTTGTCCCAAATGGTGTATTAATTTACAATAAGTTATATTTCCAAAATCCCTCTGACCAAGCGCAGGATTGGATCAGTCAGGAAATGGTGAAGCCACATGTTAGAATGATGAAGGAGAAGCTGAAATTCACAGATGTGCAGATCAAAAATGGTCTAAGAATCCTTCGTGAAAGAGGTATATATTTGTATTTGTTTATAATCATCGTTGAATGCAGAATTCATTCAAATTTTTTGAACTTATACAGCAAAACAAATTATTTCATCGTAATCTACGTTGTACATATACATGCAATTGGCTACTCCAGGTAGCATATCCTAGTTTTCCTTTACAGTATAGTCCCTCAGCAGTGCTATATGTAATGGAACTGAAGATTTGTACCTGATCCATCACTCAGTGTATACATCACATTGTCCACTGCTTATATCAATTATCTCCTGTAATCTTTCACCTACATCCATGTACAAATTGCCAAATTTTGTAAGCAAGTATATATGGCAAAATGTCCCATATTAAAATCTAGGTCCATGTCTATAGGTATATAAAAAGTGTCAAAACTGCTGCCAGGAGTGATATTTCTGACATTGAAGGAAAATTATTCAGTTTTGATCCATACTTTTGGATGGTATTTGGGTACCTGAAATTCTTTTTAATATATGTAGTTACTCATACCCAAACAACAACTGTACGCTGTTCCAGCTCTAATTGCTTGCAATATGTATACTCTGTCTTGTTTCAAACAAATACTGTACAACCTTTTTTTTTTATTATTCAAAATATAAAGTTTATCTCTCATATACCTTCCTTTATAGTTTGAAAACCTAAATAGAAAGAAACACAATAATTTTGTATACATATTTTGGTTCATCTACACATAAGTCAGCCGTTGAACAGTACCATCGCATTTAGGTTTGCATTCTATCCTGTTACTGTGCTCATCACTTTGAGCAGTTATATTTCCTATACTTTAATTTGTCACTTATGTTTTTATTTTTCCAAAAATGGTAAAATTAAAGCATACATTATAACAATGTTTATTCTTGTTCATTAACTATGTTTGTATGTAACAAACCATTGTTATATATATGATTATGGCCTTATAGGGCTCCTCTTGCTGCTCCGATTGTGAAATATACAGCTTTGTTTAATTAGAAGCTTTTCATGTCGCATTACATAATGTCTGAGCTAATTTGATTTAGGGGATAACCCTACTGTATTTTGAGATTTGGGGTAGTATATACATTTTGACGTCATAGTTCATGTCGAATGTACCCCGGGTTGGAAACAGGGATAATGTATTCCCAAAGAGAAACAGATGGTTTTTCTAGCTAAATACAATGTCTGAAAGTTGTGGAAGAAAAAGGTCCCCAATTCATGATGGTTGAGAATTGGTTTTCATGTTTATTTGATTCTGGTTATAGTTCATTTTCACATTGTAAAGGACACTCGATAAACCTTGTGTCTTTATAAATATACAATTTGAAAATTAACTAATCATATTTAACTCAAGTTGTAGATAAACATGATAATTATAGCCAAGCATCATTTGTTTGGGAACTTTTGGTTATAAAGTTTACAGATTATTTTCAGGTACACATTGCAGATATATTTTGAAGTTTATATTAAATTGAGTAAAGTAATGAATTGATTGCTAGAAATTTATTAATGAAGCAACAAAAATATGTATCAAGATAAGAAAAAAATAAAATAATGAATATGTACATAAATTTTAATAATAAAAAAATAAACAGTTTTTTTCCATAACACACTTACATGTATTTTTAAAAAGAAATAATTAAAAACAATAATAATGCATGTATTCTCCATATTTAGGTTGTATTTATATCATAACTGTGTAGTTGTATGTGTATTCATTTTATATGAGTTGATAAATATGGTTTTAAAATAATAAATAAATGGATACATATTTACACAGGTATATTGATCTATCAAAATGTTAATATTCCAGATGAGGAGATCACGTTTATTTGTCTGCTGAACACCTTGGTCCCTACAGAGAATGCTGTTTTGAATGTGTACGTCGGAATGGGGAAATATGCCTTCTCCGCAGATATCAGACTTGTCCTCCGCAACTGCTATGATATCTGTAAGTTTTACATCACCTTCCTAATTATATTAGGTTTATCAGTGTAGAAGGTTTATCAGTGTAGAAGGATACATTTGCTAACAGATGATCTTTACGTGAAAACAATGATAGACAGTAATTCTACCATGCTACAGGTAACTAAGCTGCATCATGAAGCAGAGTGCAGATCTAGAGGTGTTAGACAGAGGCTTATATTGTAGTTATAATCAAATTTGCAAGTGACCCAAATCTTTTGTTGAGTCATGTTTGATATTTAGTGATATGACAGAGAATGTTTCAGACTTGGGTCATCATTTTACCCAGATATTTGGCAATATAATCATGATCAGGTCTTACCTGATTTTTGATGACATTTTCTGTCACCTTATTAAAATAAAATGTATAATGATATATAAATTAAATATATTTAATTTGAAATAAGATTACCCAGTTTGCCAAATCAAATGGTTAAAGATAATATTTATTACAGGTTGGAGTAGTAAGGTTTACTAGATATAGTGGTTTGATTATTTGTAAATTTACCATTTTCAGATCACGGTGAGCCGACCCAAGAACAGTTTGAGCTAGAATGGAACCGGATCAAAGGTACTGGAATAGGTCAGTTTCTTTAGAGGTCATGATTACTCTCACCGAGACATAATTACACACTCTCAAAGGGCAAAGTTCACTAATCATAATTACAAACATATTGACACCATAATATAAATTTGCACACTTTAAATACCTTGGTGTGTTGAATTTTGAGGGTCTAAAACTGAAAGCATTTTTTTCTTTTCTTTTTTCTTTAAGAAATTTAGAGTAACATCATGTAGATAAGATACAAAACAGACCTGTTGACATAAATATATGAATGTATTTTGACACTTATTTGCCACGAACAAGCAGGTTTGGAGATTTAACATAAAATATAACAACCCTTGAAGTAATTTGTCTGTTAATTATTAAACGATGTCACATTTATAACGTGACAATATAAATGACATCAAAATCACTGGAATGTTGTTACATTCATTCAAGGCAGGTTCAGTGATGTGTGTATGTTAAGTGTGTAAGTGTTTAACGTGAGGTAGTTTATCTCTAAACTTATTGATGGTATTGTTAAATTATTACAGAAATTTTCTGTCCTTTTTCGTAGATTTAACCAGTTGAAAGTTTTTTGATATTAACAAACCATATATTTAAATAATAACTTTAAGCATGATTTTCATTTTGATAAATAATATAATTGTGTTTTTATCCTTCTTTATTCCCCACTTTAGAGCACTTAATGGAACAGGTAGAGATAGAGAAGACTAGAGCTGACAGGACAGAAACTGAGGCCCTGAATAGGGAGGCAGTGCTTCAGGAGGAGATGAGGAGGGCAGAAACTGAGGCCCTGAATAGGGAGGCAGTGCTTCAGGAGGAGATGAGGAGGGCAGAAACTGAGGCCCTGAATAGGGAGACA